CAAGGAAGACCACATCACGATCCTAACAAGATTTCGAGCTAGTCAGTTCAGAATACCCTACATTCAACGCAAGAAAATGTTGCCCGGTTCAGTTACGCCATACGCATGAGTTCATGTATTGGCTTGGAGCACACAGGCTGCAGACCAATTTACTGGAAAGCGGTATTGGGGTGCTTGTAAAGATTTAAATCCGCTAGTCAATATGGTCTGCGGCAGCTGCGAAAAGGGTCAACCAGCAAGTCGGCCTGCTGCCTAGGTCATTTGGGGGAGTTGACCCATCAATCTTCCCGACGATGCACAACGCTAACATGTGGCCACACGTTAAATACTCTATCTGAAATTGGCACTCCTGGTTGAAGCGATAACTCGTGGTGCTAGAGACACCACGACACAGGACATAAAATAATGTCAAGGGCCCACGCAATCTACCTTGTCGATAATGACTGCACTTGCTGGGATTTTTCGGAGGACGCTACCAACGGCTACGTGGAGATTTCGTATTGGTTTACCAAATACTGAATGACTTCGACCGTATGTGACGCTATTTGTTTAAATCGAACCACAACAACAACAGTGGTAACTGATTGAAACGGAACGAACAATAGAGTCGTCTGGAACGTCGACGGAATTGCTATTCTCTCTGGGTCTGTCAACACTGGAACCTTCTAAAGTCAGTTATCTTCCCCTCTAATTTGGATATTTTCAAAAAAACGAGTGGATGTTGCTCTCAGCTCCAAGCACTTCGTTGTATAAGCTGTACTACTGTGAATTATATTATTCATGCACTTATACCGGATTTATGTGTCACGTGGACCCAAGGAGGCGGTATATATTTGAGCAGCATAGCTTTAATTTCTCATGAAACAGGTCAACTATCACTGCGCCCTGTCGTTCTGCATACTTGCATTCAATTCTCCCTTAACACTACTGTTATTTAGCAACGCATTTGACGCGATAGGCGCTTAATCAGATGACACTTATGTTTTTTGATTTTGCAGTTTGCACCCCAGACATCCTACGAGACATGTCAAGCACCTGATTTTTCACCCGTGATAATCCTTGTTCATTCTTCTTCATAATTTGCTTAAAACGCCACACCATGTTAACCCGACATCAGTCGTTAACCTACTGACCCATCATTAATCTACACAAATCACTGTGGCGTTGGTTCCAGAGATCAGGAAAGCAACATGTTTTATTCCCGTAATGATTCTATCCGTAGATACTATCTAAGTTTACATATTTTTAATTACTAACCTTGCAAATCCCTTAATTTCAGGAGTGACGGAACCTGTAATCAGAACGAGTCACTCTTACTCGTACCCTACATGCAAGAACTGGAACTTCGCAACTGGCAGTTGATGTTTCCCACCTGTTCGACCATACCGAATTTGGCTTCAGATGTTCCATGCGATCATATTCTCAATAATTTACGGCGTCACTGTAGGTTGCATAATCGAAGGATCTTGTGACCTACAATCCCCCATATCGTTGTTCGCTTGCAGCCCACGAAAATACGAGACATTGGAGTGGCAACGCGTGCACCGTTGAGGAGTAGTTAATGGCGCGGGATAGCATGCGCAGGATTTTTGCAATGGATGTAAAAACGGACAGGGTCATTTTTAAAAAAATGCACATGTATTACGTAACATTGAAAGATACATAAGCACGTCACTTAGCTTCGATTGTCATTTTCGAGGCCCATCTCTCCACTCCATACCGCACAGTTTGCCTCCCCTGGCTGGACGGGAAGACCACAAACTAAAGTGTCCAATAACTGGGTTGTTGCAACCTTTAGCTGTGGTCACACACGTAGGAAAGCGGTACACAGAAAACCAAACTTGGGCTTGCAATCTGAAACAGGGCTGCGCCTTGCAAACCGCTGTACCAACCGAGAGCATCTGAATTCGTGAAGGTGGTGATGGTCAGATTAAGCCAAGCGACTGCGTTCCAGTATTTTGCACAAGTGGTGCTACCAAACTAGCCCAGTCATGTAGCTGACTCGTGTTCGATTGCAGCGGTTTCCAGAATCGTAGTGAAGGTACTTTTGAGCTTAGTCAGCCTAGTTTGAAAACCGCAGTAAGAAGACAAAACTTGGCAATCGCACCCCTTTCACATTTTCTGCTCAGTACCACTAGGGATAACAGAGGTGTTACGACTTATGCCGACAGATTCAGGGAAACGAAGGTCGACTGTCCCGCCGACGAGCTTCAGTTGAGTAGAACATCTTTGACGAAAGATTAGCCTAGAAAATTTGCAGATGAGTAACGATTGGGAGGGCCGACGCCCTTGATGCCTTGATGGGTTTGTACCGCTCTAACTTTCAAGCATTATATCACAACGCTGAGGTGGAATAAGCGTATAATCTGTGCTACGCAAGGCAGTTACTATGTCTCGCATGTTCATGGTGTCGACCGAACCAGAAATTTGTCGGTACTTCCAACAAAGCGAGTTCAATCAGCTGAGGTGAGCTCACACAGTGTTTACCAACATAAATGTGATTATGGCCTCCGTTACATAGGCACAATAAATAGGACTCTGACTACCCGAATAAAGGAACACCTACCAAAGGGGACTCAGTGTGAAAGTGCCTGCTCACCTATACCCTCAGCCCCCTGTCCGCGTAGGCCATTAGCTTCCGCGATAAACGAACAGTTCCTGCTCACGAGTCACTCGGCTCAGTTCGAAACCAGGTTGCATCACCCCAATGCTGCTATTTTGGCTTCTCCGAAGCTGTCGCAATAACTTAGAAGAAACCAGCACTTATCGTTCAAAATTTTTACTCACCAGTTTCTGTCTAGATGGACACCGTGGGTCCGAGGTTCTGTCCTTCATTCTGCACCCCAAGCTAGTCAAGAATGTATATTCACATTGGTTAGTCATAATAGCAGTGAGAAAACTACGAAATTTCTCAGCACGTTCAGTGTTATTGGTCACTTTTAATGACTTTCGCTGCCCTATTAAACGGAATCGATTCAGCAACCACCTGCGGTTCTTCAGACTGTTTTATACCCGTGCATTACATGGTCCAACCACGGATGTCCCATCCTCCTTTTTCAACGTGATGACAGATTGCTGTCATACAGCGCAAACTCGCATTCGACGACCTCAGGTTTACCAAAAACAGCTTATATGGCGCTTCTGGCCCATTAGATTCTATCGCTTCTTCTTGATCAATGTAGCGTATTCTACTTATGTCGCCATGGACTCTTCGTCAATCACACGCGTGTACCTTACATCCTATGCTGTCAACGTAGTAGCCGTAGTTGGTCCTTATTAACAAGCATTGACTGAGCAGCTGGTTCAGTTTTCACGGTGATACTAGTTGTAAACCTATCGTGTATACTTAAATGTATACAACTTGCTGGAAAGCAGATGGTGGACTATGGGCCCACTCTTGTTCTAAAGAAACGACGGACAACAAAGTGGATTGCCAGCGGACATTCAAGCGGTTTGTAATCCAAGCGAAGCCTCCGACCTCATTCCTACGGCCTTTCGATTGGTATGAAACTCAGTATTGTTTGAGGTGACAGTGGTCGTCATACGAATCGGCTACACACTGAGATATCTTCACCACTGAGTAAACGGAATGAGGCAAGGGGGCAGCCAGCACCATAGTCTTGGGGATGCACAGATCACTCATGTCGTACAACTTATACGAACCAACTAGTTAAAACTATACGACCTATCATCACTTGAGGTATTAAGTCTATCTACGGCATTCAATAAGCGATTTAGAACTAGTTCTCAAGCGACTATCATTGCGTTCCTTTTGTCTGAGCCTAGGTACTCACTGAAGGTAGCAAATTCAACAGTCGGGTCGATGACATGCGTGAGATTGTCAGCAGCGATTACCGACTGTTGCTAGCATAGCCTTACTGGACGAGGACGAACATTGTGTACAGTACTTTGGTGCTACATTATGGTCAGGAATATAGCGGAAGATATATTTGGAACTGCCATTTAGGAAAGATGGGGGCATTGTTTAATAGAAGCGGGGACGCTTGTGACAGCTCGTAGGTTACTATTTGTGGTCTCTTCACATCGTTTGTGTGCACTGTTGGCCATGATTAGCACCCGTCGAAGCCATCTGCTTAAAAGGTTGTGCATTAATACTGCTCCTCTGAAAGCGCTCCAGAGGTCGTCAGAATTTCGGCCGCCAACCATAAGTGGAATGGTGCCAAACTATTAATGTTTAAGAATCCGCTCAGTCCATGGAATACAGAACACATCTGAGTAACCAAGAAGTCAGTAGGGGGAACAAAGATGGCACCTAAGTCTTTCGAAATGAGATCCAAATTTGTAGTTCAGTGTGACTGTGCCTTCGATAAGGTGAGGAAGAGAGTTAATCTGATGCTAAAGATCTTCCAACACACACACACACACACGGCATCTGGTTCCCCCGACGCCTCTCCAGCGCTAACCAGTACAATTAGCCCGTAGCAAGGTACCAACGTACCTTAGTGTAGTGAGCTGATGTGCCAACACTAACAACGAACGAGTTGGTGGCTAGGGCAACTGCATGCACCTACACAATAGAAAGCGATCCAGCCGCCCAGTTACGACCGATTATAATTGTTGGCTACTTAACAAGTACAGCCCCTCCAACGGAAGTTGCTGCGTAACAGGTTTATGATGTATATTCAAAAATCGTTGCATATTTGCTCAGTAACAGATAGAATGACGTCTCTAAGTACCTAAAGCAATGGGCTCAGTTCCGCACCCTACCGATCAAGGCCCAATACATGCGTCCAGATAGTCAGCGCATTGCCAACTGCTCATTCAAAACCATGCAGTGGGTCGTGGCGGTCACACTGGGATGTTCAAATGCAATTAATTTTTCGAGCTGAGCGCCTGATATACGTATTAGCCATGAAGTTGTAAAGTATCTTTGTAAGCATGTTACAATGAACGGTTTTCATTGAGACCGACGATAAGCCGCAGGTTTGAGTGCATATTGATAAATAAGTTTAGCTGTCATAAGGGGGCTAAATACTTACTTTAAGCTCCCTGTTTGTACAAACAGTCTGACATGAGCTGGACGAAAGGGGACAACTTCACAGTGGTCGAGTTTCCACAGGCCAAAGACCTTTCCACCAGTGGAGTCGGAGACGGTGAATGAGGCTTGACCAGATTCCATGGGAGAAGAACAAGGGTCGTTCGTAGGTTGTGTGAAGTCCTCTACGATTGTGACGTAACCCACAAGGCCAGCTCCCTCACATACTCCCATTCCCAGTAGCGCTATTCCATTCGTTTTAATAGACAATTCGGTTCTGTTAGTCGTTGCCACCTCAGATGTGTCCAGGCGGTTGTGCATCAACGGTTTTTCGGCTTGTAATATAGCTTTTAGTAACTCAGTGAGCACTGATCCGCCGGAAACGGCATAGAACCGGTTAACCGTCCGTGCGATTCGCGAGGCTCGTTCCACGTCATGAGCGTAATTCCACATGAGAGATTGCGGAGTGAAAACTTCGCTCAACACTGGGTGGAATCTTTGTAACATTTCTGCAGACACTTCACTGTTTAGAGGCAATGTTTGGTTTGTGAATTTCGCAGGAAATGTAGGATAGCACAAAGTGGATTCTGTGTCGATATAAGTTACAATTTTCCTTAACAGTTGTTCACTTCGCGACATGGTGAGTGGGTCGATAATACCTTCGGCGGAATGAAACATATGACAGGGGATGAGATATACAAACAACATCGTGGCGAGGCAGTGACTGCTTGAGCCAGAAATGCTCCTGTTGACTGAGAACTTCCCACACCACTTCACCATACCGCGTCGGTTGTGGAACTGACGGATTATCTGCCTAGTCTCCGTGGGTTGGCAATGTCACCCAAATATCCCATATTTTTTGGAATGTGGACGCGCATTGCATGTTCGCCAACAATCCGCACATAGTGTTCAACTTTCATGGATGTTGAAATCGAGGGAGGGATTTAAACCCAAAGCCTATAAGCGGATGTGGTACGGACATGCGAGCCGGGAGTGCGCGCGTGCGTCCTCATGCGCTGGGCGAATACTTCACGCATGGCCCGGATCGCTATGCTTTCATTGGTTAACCGAGTGTCGGGATATCGCCATACGTCAAAATGTCAGGCAGAGCAGAAATCAAATTCAGTGGATAGCTGAGCTGTACAACGCTGTTTCCCTCTCCTTCATTCTACCAAGTCACCTACTAGGCAAGCCGCCAACAAGCGAAGAAAAGTATGGAATCATTGGTAGTAGCCAACGCTGATAGCGAACTGTTCAACACGGGAGCGTTGTAAGCAATCGTACTGATTAGCTCATCAGTGAAGGTATGTTTGCGAAAGCACGGGAGGGTCTGAGGGTATGCTGTCATCAACGGAGTAAGTACAAAGTCCCACAAACGGATCCCGGCACTAGAACTACCTGCTCCCACGTTGTATGTGCCTTGATCCGGTCTGAACTCGCAACATGGCGTACCGGGGTAAATTATGGCGGAAGATTGGAGTGGAGGGCCTGGTCTTGATCAACAAACGCACATGTGCAAGTAGTGAAGCGGTAGCTGAATCTTTACCAAAGGAAATTCATTTCTGCTATATTGAGAGAGACATCACGGATTTGGAATACACTAAATGGTACTTCCTTCTCTACAAATCCGTGAGAGATGAGGTTTGACCCCGTTCTCTACATATGGCAAATACGTATGGTGGTTATGGGTTATGTGATAGGAGCATGTAGCGTGTTCCTTGGCCAAATTGCCGCCGCCGTCTAAAGTGCCGCAGCAATCTTAAGTACCACATCCAGAGGCTTCGAGTTGTGGTTGCTTTTGACAAGAGAGCGCACATTAATTTTGAAGCCTGATGGAATGAAATGTCATTTGTTTCTCCTTCGGATATAGAGCGGCCGTCAAGCTGCCAAGCATTTCTCCTAAACTATACAACTGTATGGCTCAGAAAGAGGCTACACATATTGCGCGTTACAGCTATAATTCTAGCGGGGGCGCCGGTCATTGGTGGGCTATAAAAAACAAGTTTTTACGAAATAATGAAAAAGTGAAAAATGAAAAAGCATTTACGACATGCAGAAACCCATTAATTGCGAAGCCCAGAGGAGGACCAAAGTGATGAAAAGGAAACAAAGGTAAACGAAAATAACACAATGGCTCAAAATATGCTTGGAACAGGCTAGGAATTCAGGAAGTCAGAATTTAAATACAAATCGATTTTCGCACGTTTTCTTGTGGCAACGTTTCGCTCTTGACTCCAGAGCTTCTTCAGGGCAGGTGAATCGGTACACAATTGGCAAAGCTTCCTATAGGAATGTAGGGTATCTTTTACAAGAATTAACACGGTTCGTTGGATAATAATGCTGCATGTCAATAGGGGATGAGGCCAATCTTGTTTAACAACAAGCATCGAGCGTTTCTCATTGATCCTCGTTAACGGTAGTTCACATGTGAGGGATTCTTGTTCAATCTGCTGCTGATTCACGCTGCGACCTGAGTTAGTCGCCGACACCTTTTCTGACCGGTCGGTTTAAGACAGTTCGCCACGCGTTCCATCACTCCACCACGTCCGCTATGTACACACAGTTATTGGCCTTAATAATATCAATCGCCACAGCAATCACATTTAGCTTGCCACTAGTTGTTCCTTCTTAATTACCACAACATTGTCGCAGTCGATTTTGTATCCCGCGTCTAGCGCTTGTACGCCACCGCTGAATTAGTAGAGCCCTGTAATCAGGCTCATTTCTTCGTGGACGCGAAACGTGTCTCTGGTGTTATGCTATCCTTTTGAGTGCACCTCTCGCTGTTTAACCTACGTACACCTGTCCACAGTCTTTGCAACTGATTCTATAAAAGCAATTGGTCGTCCTATCTCTCTGAAGCAGATCCTTCCAGAGCACCAGTGCTGAACAGAGCGTTTGACCCTTTTTGAAAAACCGCTCTTATATCTTCTTTGCTTACTACTCGCCTGATGGTTTCAGCGGTACCCTTTCTATAGGGGATTCCTACCGTCCTAATTCACTCCGTTATGAGTTGCGAAGATGGAATTACAGCTCTCTGCAACAGGCGTTTCACTAACCGCCTCGGATATTCACTGTGTGTTAATTTTCTCACCGCCTCCTTACCAGCGGCCTTCCTGTCCTCTTTCTCTGTACACAGAGTCTAGGCTCTGTGAAACAGAGAGGCTGCGATAGCAGTATCGATTTATTTTAGATGACCCGAGCTTTACTGGAGTACTCCATCTGTATTTTGGCCCCACGACATTTCGTCATCTTTAACCGTCCACCGCTCCTACGAACTAGGCACTTAAGAAATGGCATTGTGTCACCGGAAGATTCTAGTTCCTTAGTAAAGTTCATGTTCTCATCATTCATATCCCGCATTATAAGCACAAATGTATCATTTACGTAACTACAACAAGTCTTTGGTGAACTACTGGAGTTCGTCAGCGTTCTCCTCCCAACCACAGGTGCCACTACTTGCTAGAGCTCAGTCACAACAGCAAGCTGATGGCCCGACATCGCAAGCAGACAGAGCAGCACAGTCGCTTGGAATGCCGTCGGAATTACTTTTCCGTACGCTTCTGCCGAACGTCAAATGCCCTATCGGAATCTGTCATCTGTGCTCCCACGCTGGCATAGTTTAAACCCCGAGTTGACTGTGCACTCATTTTGCCGCACTACCTTACATGACCCATCGCCCATGGATAAACGCAAGTGTCTGTAATAGATTTCATTGGCCGTTCCAGATTCCGTTTCACGTTTTTCACTTTCTGCATGTGTACACCAGACGGTGACACGATTTTTACCAACATCCCATTTACCGTCATTTCTCATATATTCACCACGAATTTACAGTCTACACTACCTACAGTTCAATGAGTTCACTTGTGTATACCCAATTTTGATAACAATTTTTTCATGTCTTTTGTAGTTACACCATAACCATCCTCCGGGACCTATTAAGCATTAGCTTTTTTACACGTATAAAACCATTGTTCCATTGTTCCTTTGTTCATGCAGATTTGCCAACACGGGGGATATTTATGACCCAATGGCAAGTCCCTGTTCCTGAGAGTACATTCTCGACTGGAACGTGATATACTAGGGCATGACATAATTTCCTCGATCATCTGCTCTCGCGCGCGAGTTCCGTTTGCTTCACCTGGCTGGTGTCCTCAGTCCGCCAACAATGTGCTATCCACAATGCCTTATAGTGAAGAATGATGAAAAATGATTTATCACTAGCAAAATAGCATGGACTTGACAAGTCCCCTGGGATGACTAGGGTGTGAAACTTATGCTCGAAAAGATCAAGGAATAAGTGAATCATCATTTTAAGCGTCTACCGTTTTAAATGCAATGCTGCATAACGATAGTGTGAAATGCGGATGGGTTGTGCACACACACACAAAATAATGCAGAGAGCAGCGATGGTTGCAGTAACTTCGTGAGAAATAAAAATCGTAAGAATAATGGTCACTCTTGTGTTCCTTCAGTTGTCACCATGAAACAACAGAATATTACGGGCAAAAAGCTGATGCTTAGCAAGTCACGTAGGACGGCTAACAAGAGAAGCACAACTTGGTGAACAGAAAACAAACGGAGCAATGAAAATCGTTGTTGTGCACTCGCCACAGTGTTAACACAGAGGTAGCAGAAAGGCCAAATCCCAGTTTAGATTATTTCTCATTGTGCAACTTTGTCACGTTATCTCGTCTGTCGAGGCACACTGGCTATATCTCATAATGTAGGTGGCTTAGGGCGACGTCAACGCGTTTCTAAACACAGGTAAAGTGGAGACTGAAAGAACATAATTTGGAACGGCGTTCCATGGCCTGCACACACGAAGAGAGTAAAAGATCCGTCGACAAGCTAGCTGACTGTAATGCGTGACAAAATTGAACTGGTGACCCTGCAAATTCTTGTTCAGACTGAATTGTAGCAGGTGGTGGCAGATGTGGTTGGGGTTCATCAAAATCTGCTACGTCACAATAAGGTAGCCACGAAAGCGGCAATACCGGCTGCTGCATAATTAAAGGGTCATCGGTCAAATTTGATATGGAAGATGGGACAGCCTGTGACTTGCTATGTGGCTCGTCGCGGTGGAGTCTCGAGCGCTGCAAGATCTTGCTTGTGACAGGGCTGCCAGGCCTGGATTGCGTATTCCACATGAAGCCGCGTGTATGTGTTAAGCAATTGCAGGCAGACAGAGGGATCAAGCTGGCCGAATGCCCTCGGCAGCATTCCAACGTGTTGGTTCGCTATATTTGACACCTTCTCAGATTGTTCTGAGCACCTCAGATCAGCCTGGATTAGTACTCCAAGGTCGCGTTCATGGATGACTACTTACAGAACATGGTTTCCAAGCTTGTATGTGATGTTCGGCTAGTGGCGAACGTGAATCACCTTTCACTCCCCCGAATTGAACTCGAGCAGATTGTGGAATGAGCATCCATACGCTCTCTCCATATCTGGATGAGCTGCATCGTGGTCTCCTGGGTCGGCCATCGCCCGCCACATCATAATAGTATCAGCGAGGAGCAAGACATTAGTGGTAATCAAATGTACAAGCTCGCTAATGAACAGGAGGAAAGGGAAACGGTCCCAGAACTGCTCCTTGTGGAACTCCACAATCGACATGAATCGGATCGGACAGCGCAATTCCGACACTAAGCTGCAGTTGCCGATGCTGCAGGTAATTCCAGATCCACCCAAGAAAGAATCACCAACTCCATAGATTTCGAGAAGGTGAAGTAGAATGGGTCAACGGTGTTTACAAAAGAAGAGGCCAAAACGGTGGCCATTCGGTGAAACTTTGCAGCAATCTCTGCATAGGTAACTGATGTTCCAGGGGGCTTTGTCTCGACAAGAGACAATTGAGACACAGGTGCCGAGGGTTGGTGTTCGGCTGCCTCATCCTTGTTAATAGCTAGTGTGAAGAGAAGCTACGG